TGAGATTTGTAGCGAATTTCAGGAGTCCGTGCGCCTGAATGCTTGGTCAACACCGCATAACTTTTGCATTTTTCTTCCCCTCACCACATTTTTTTTCTCAATTCCCTGGGGGCAGAACCCACTAAGCAATTTTCTTTGAATACAGTGAGCTACAGGATTGATGCTGATTTACTTCATTTATAATCTTAATTTCCTACATTTCTGACAATAAAAGGAATTTCAACCGTGTTCGGGTTTCATTTCTTCTAAATGATCTCAACATAAAAGCAGTAGCGTATCTAGCGATCGTTTATGGTTCAGAAGTAACAGATCCAGGGGTGGCACAGCCGGGCGGAATAAACTAATCACGTACATATAACGGACAGCTTTGTTTTTGATATCGATGGCACTCACCCAAGTTGAGAAACCGGTCAGAAGTATCTTTTCTCATGCATGTGTAATGTTTTTAATTAGGAGTCTTTGATTTTATCCCAAAAACTTATAATCATAGGCTACAGGAAATTCCTTTTTCCCAAGTTAACGCCATGTAGTGACATGAGCAAATTTCATCTCCATGTTCAAGCCCGACGGAGGGGGAAACACTGGCTTGCCTGAAAACTGTTGGCCTATTCAAATATTTGGACTGGTGGGTGTAATGTGGTATTACTAGATAGGAGAGCGATGGGGGGCTGCTTGCCCAAATTTTGAAACTCAAAGGTGTAATTGGTCCAGCACAGAGTCTGAGCTTCAAAACATGAGTACTGTACCGTGTCCCCCTGGTCAAGGGCGAACCCTGTGTGCGAATTTGGAACATATAGTTGGCCAAACCTAACCCTAATCAACGGAAATCAACCCTACTTTGCAGTCACAAGAGATTCTTTCCAGCAGTTGAAAAAGTTAAAAATTCACAGACTTTAGCCTAATGGCCAGACTACACGGTTATGCACTATCAGCCCTACTCAAGGTCATAGGCCCATAACCTGGATAAGAGACAACCTTTCCCAATTTTTCACCTCACACCGATTTTGGAACCTCTTTTCCCCCTGTTTTACACGTTTTCGGGGAAATTGTACAAACTGGGGTTTAATAAAGGATGCAGGCCAGTAAAAAGGCCGAAAACTGCCTGCGTGGGCCAAATCACAATGTGTATGCACTCAAATATTCAACGAAATAGGGCATTTTGTGGCCCATGAACTTGAAGATTTGTAGAAAAGACAGGTTAAGGCGGGCATAGAGAATACCAGCTTGTGTCTGAGTGAGATTTGGGAGAAATCGGTGTCTGAAAACCGGTCTATTTTTCGAGAAGTGCAGGCATCGATATTTCAATATGGGGAGGGACTTCAAGACTACATTTTAGGGGTGACCTTCCGTGGAAATAAACATCTCCAGAAGTCATCGGTTAATGAATGGAAATTTGAGAAGAAAATGAAAAACTAAAAACTGGGCATTAATTTGACGTGCGTCTCAAACGCCTGAGAAACTCGTGAGTTTTTTCCCTTATCTTTTGAAGTTCGGGTATTTATCACTGTTGGCCATGGCAGTTTATTTACTGGCCTGCAACCGTATTTGGTGACTACCCAAAAAACGCCCTCTTTTGTTCCGCTTGGAGCGGATAGGGATAAAGAAGTAGGGACTTATATACATACAATAACCGAGTTAATTATTCCGGTAAAGAGGAAGTATCGCGGTGAAATTTACCAAGCTGTATAGAAATATGTAAATTATATTTTGATGCATAACCTTGGGTTTATAAACTACTCAGACCTTTCCCTTGTGAGAAAAGCAGGAGACCTGTCTAAAACATGTACACTTCTGGGTAAAGTTAACTCTCTTGAATTAATAATCGAAACTGACACCAGGATTTTTGCCGAAGATGTCCGTTTCCTCACTCTAGACGACATTTTGACCCGATGTGACTCTGGGACCAGATAGTCTGACCAACACCGTCTTTCCAGGAAATGCATTTGGAAGACAGGTTATACCGCAGGGCTGGCAGAGACTACCTTCTGATCCCGAGTCTATGCCCCCAAAGCACAGGAAACACCTTCATCCCACTGCTCTTAACCCCTCTCATACTACGCCCCTCCCACTTGTTTGCCAAGACCGTACACGCACGACCCTACGGCTCAAGCTTCAAGCGGCTTCTTATCGCAGGTTTCCATATGGAAGACATCCCCTGAAATTGTATTACGAGGGTTATAGCTGGGTAATATTACGCCTATACTAGGCCAACCATAGAAAATACAACAACTCTAAGTTTATCGTGATGATGGGTGTTATACGTGTTAAGGACTTGTGTTAATTGATAACTGTTGACTCCGTGGCCGTATAAATCCCCCTGGCCGCTACTGGGCCGCATTCTTGCCCGTCACCCGCTGCGTTTGTATTTACGAACGGCCAGTATTACGATTGAGGGCTAGTCATGGGGTTCTTCCTTAGAAAAATACACCATCGCGGCAAGTGAGTGGCTACAAAATGCAATCCAGATGCACAGTGTGTTATGGACATGATTGTAAGAGGGTTGATTTCGAGTTGATCCATCTCTCTCACAGGTTGTCAAAGGCCAAAAAAAGTTCCCGGCCTACTCCGCTCAAACTGCCTGATTTATCGTAGCAAGATTGTTGACAAACGGGTCAGTCGAATAATAGAAGACAGCGAAATCTAAGGCAAACTCTCGGCTATCTGTGATGCAAGTAACTACATGTTTATAGCCAAACGTTGCGTTTTGTATGCTATATCATCACGGGGCATGAAACCTGCCTTCTCAACTGATTCGCTACACGATTCCATCAGGAAACAACCAAAAAGTAGAGATGCATGCCAGTAAACCAATGTGTGGCAGCTATTGGAATCAGAATAGGGGGTTCGGGGATTCACAAGTTAAAAAGAGACCTGGATTACATTATTTTAAGCCTTTTCCTTCCAGCCTACGCAATCCCCGTGACAAACGTTTCCAAAGCATTCTAGATTTCCGTTAGAGTTTCCTCCTCAACTTTCAACTGTTGTGTCTGCTTTCGACCATGATCCCAGGGGAGAGTATCCATCTCGGAGGGGGGGAGGGCTGCTGCTGAGATCACAAATGTCACAAGCTGACGGATGTGGGTGGATGCTGAATACATTTCTTTCCGTGTGTCTTTCTTTACGTAGAGGGTCCGTGCCTCAATAAAGCAAAGTCCACAGCAGGTTTGGGGGAGAAAATGTGAATCATTCCAGACATAGTAACATGGAACGAGTTCTTTACACGAGCAGCGAGGACAGTGATTGACGATGAAGTCACCACCGTGACCTTGGGGATGGTGAACCTGCCATCCAAAATGTCTCCTCTGAGCTCGGCTAGCGATAAATCACGCGTATGAAGGGAGTAGCCGTCTGCAGCGTCTCGAAAATATTTGCCAAACAAACGGGACAACAAATTATCGGTGCGAAAACGTCAATGGAGACAGTGAAGTCCTTCAAGGCTCTATTACACTTGACGATTTAGCCAGCGTATGCCGACCTACGAAAAAATTGTTGAATACACTGGCATACGCTGAAGTATAGAATTTTTTTCAATTCTGGGCATATAGGCCCACACAGTGTATTCATAACCAGTTGGACGTATACATAACGCATAAGTAACTAACATAAAAAAATTTTCGACGACCTCGCCGTACTAAGACGTTTACCAGCATGCTTCAGCGTGATCTTAACTTACCCGTAACTTATTCGACGTATACGCCAGCGTATTCACCAAATATTTCAAACGTCGGCATAAGCTGGCTAAATCGTCAAGGTGTGACAGGGCCTTCACCGGTGACACGTCAAATCCACACAGGCATTATGCATTCGCCTCTGCCATTCTCTAGCAGACTGCATTCTCGTTATGGTGACAAAGACAGAGCTGTAACAGACACTAGTCTCGGCCAATGCTGAAGCTCCACGCGCACAACGCACAAGCAAAACAACGTTAATGGTTTGTGCACATAAACATGAAAGTTGGGCCTGGAGTCAGACGAATCCGAATAGGCCTATCATCTTTCCATTTGTTTAGCCTTTGCCCCAGACTCTACTTATTTTTTCTTAGAATATTATAAAAAACGAGGCTACTGATACAATTCCTATCCCGTCAGCAGCAGTTCTCATTATTTAAAAACAGCACAAATAACTGCCACCCCAGGGCCTTTTTCACAAAACCCGATTTTCCTTTTTTTTCTGGACTGACCTTCAGAATCTAGTCCGTCACATCTCATCACTCCGGATACAAAACGGCATAATTTTATGGTCGGTTTAACTTCCGTGTGATCGCTTTGCATATTATAAAGGGGCTGTTGTCGTGTCAACAGGATTGTGCTTGACTCGTGATAAATGCGAGTGTTGTTGACAAAGCCACCGTCCAACGCGCCCTCCAAAAATTCGGGGTTTATTTTCTTAAATTCCCCGGTTCCATTCTTCTTCAGCACTTCGTCATCACTCTTCGGTATCCACAAGAGAGTGGTTTCTGTGTCGACTGCACTTGTCTGGCGTCCCGTGTCCTTTCTCAAACGGGCTCCGCCGACTTATTTCGAGGGACCGGAAGGTGACCTTACCTACTGGGATGCAGAGAGTGCCGTTTCCTGCGAACCCCGGCTGGCACTCACACGTGAAGCCTCGCACCTTGTTCTTGCAGATGGCATCCGGGTGGCAGTTGTGACGCCTGGTGGCGCACTCATTTTCATCTGTTGGTGAACAAACAAAAAGCCAGTTACAAGTCTGAAAGAAACGCGAAGCTGACGGGGCCTTTCCTACAACGGCCCCCCTTTCCCCCAAAGCAGCAAGTTGCTCAAGTTCTTCTCACAGTTATCCAAAGTAGAATGTAGACAAAGTCATGATAAAGACATATTCCGGTTGGTGTAAAGACTTGACGAAAGCCATCTTTGGGTTCTTGCGGAAACTTTCCCCGGTTCAGCGTTCTTGAAAAAGGTTTACTCATAAAGTGGGTAGGAACTTGAGAATATTGGTCAACGATGAGGATCAAGGACACCAACGCACTCAGGGTCCGGCCTGTTTGAATGCCAAAGAGTCAGCCCCCCTTGTAATGATTGAGTTCCTTCTGACAGTGAAGGGGGAGGATTGGCAAAGGATACCACGCGTTGAAAAATAAGTCTGTTATTTATTTGTCGTACATAGGTGTTACCTTTTCGACAGATTAACTTATCTGGGTGGAAATCCAGTTGATCAAGTGCGTTTCAGTTTCCTCCTTTTGGGCACAGACGTTGAAACTAGGTTTGAGCACAAACGTTTAAAGGAAACAAAATTCCCAACAATGCGTTGCCGCGACTGGTGTTTTAAGGAGAAGCTCGAGGTAGCCTGTGGCTTTGGATTTAAGAATACAATAACCACCACGGCATGGAACCTTCAAATGAAGATTTCTCACAACACTGTAGAAGTACAGCTGAATGATATAATAGAGTATACAGGAGTTCAATACCACGTGTACGCAAAGCACACTTACTGCACAAGGGTCACAGACCTGAGTCCAAGACGTTGTATAAACAAATGTTTATCAACACGACACGGTTCTTGAGTTGACCGCCGGTGGACACACGGCCTCAGCCCTTTAACCACGTTTAAAAAACAACAAAAACTTGATTTACACAGGACCTGAGAAGCTGTCAGTTTGTTTGTCGAGGCTTAGTTGGTACTCAGTCGGTACTGACTGGCGGCTTAAACAATATTGCTGTTAACTATGCGATGAATCTTGGGGTCCGTCACGGGGCTGAATTTGGGACACCGAGGAATTTTTTTGGTGACCTGTAAGTTTAGGAATTCCTGTGATAATAGGAACAAACTTACTACGAAAGGCGGTGAAAACAACCACAGAGTCCTTCATTGCTTGATTTTCCTTTTACTAATGAATCTTCAGGACTTTTGCCTATGACCCATGTACGGCATGATGCCAGTGCTCAGAAATCATTCTTCCCTGTTTATTTTGTGTAAAAAAATCCCCGATTTTGACACCCTTGTCTTCAAAGCACATTCAGGATTAATGACTGTAACTGGTATTCTGGGAAAAGCCTTTTACTGTTTGCGCTTTACAAGTTGTAAAGCGCAAACAGTAAAAGGCTTTTCCCAGATGTTTGGAGGTTCAAGGCCACGGTAACAGACGTAGGCCCATATATCTCACAGCAAAATCCTGACGGTTACGGTTTCTGACTTTCAAGACAAACAATTTCACTTCGTTGGTGGCTTGTGAGATGTTGCTTTCGTTGTTGGGTAAACATGACCGATGCGTGCTTTCATGATGCTGTTAGAAGGAAGGACGTATATCACAAACTTCAAGGCTGTTGGGCCAAGTTCTTTAAGTCATTCAAAGAGATGTAAGCGGTAGATTGAGATGGATGACAAAAGTTACTTGTGTTTGCCTGACGTGCGGAGACACGGAATGCGATCTAGCAATCTCTGACCTGTGCGGAGGTCGTAACCTTCAACTCGACCAATGGAAGCTTTTCTCCTTGAAAAGATCATTTCCAATGCCGCGCCCACAAAGTTTGCAGAAACCTTCAATCTGCCATCTTTGACTGGGCCGCGGGTGCTGCCGTTCATATGACAAACGGTCATCCGCACCGCGTGTCGGGCTGGGAGCAAAGAATATAAACGGAGCCGGGCCTCCAAAATAGCTGTTGCATAAGCCTGGCATCTAAGATGGCGGACTGCAAAGGATTATGAAATTGTCACAAAGAGTAAGAAGTCTTAATCTACCCCCACAAGGATCAATTTGACACATAATATACCCACCGACTTTCGATCTGAACCAAATTACACTGTCTAAAATTCCATTCTCACGGTCTGTGAACTGAGAAGCTTTTAACAGGCAACCACTGGCCCCTTTGACCTTTTTGAGAATTATTTTTCAGAGAATTTCTTAAAAACAGAGGTACATGTCTTTAATTTACTTTCCAAAAGAAAACCGGGACTAAAATAAGGCTTTTTGTCATCCAATTACCAGTAGTTATCATCGACAGATCCGCGTCTGGTCAGGAAATGAGTCTTAAGTTAAAAAAAGATTAAAAACTATTCAAAGGACGTGCGTCGATATTGTCTGTTCCGTATTCTATGCATAAACTGACAACCTTAACTACGACAAATTCATAAACCGTTATCTAGCACGGGTGCTCGTTATAAAAACTTTGCAGACATCACGCAAAGATTTGTAAAGACTTTAAAATGGCTACATTTGTGACCTACTAGATGTTATCTCAAAAATTATGAGTCGTTTGAGCTTTCACACGCGACTCAACTTTAGTGCACATTTTCTGTCATGGTTTTGTCGTGACTCTGCATGTCAGTGATAAAACATGATTCCCTTCAACTGCCAAATAAATAAAACTTCAGCGACCTTTATAACAGCTGCATGTCCGAGTGAAACAGCAGCTACATTCAGGAAAAGGTTGCCATTTCGTTCAACGGCCCAAGACCAAACAGCTAACAATTTATAAATCAATTCACGTAGACATGTATGTTGCATACATTTTTCAACCCATGCTCTATTCACCAACAGCTGTGATGTTTAAAACCGAAACGACACACCTTCGACATGAAAACTGGATTAAGGGCGGCGTGGAAGAAGTTCGCTTCGATATATCAAATTGCTCGTCTTGAACGTTTTATGCACATTGATAAATTATCATTTCTTTGTGTGAACAACATATCATCTCCAGAGGCGTATCTCATATTGTAATCTAACTCTACAGAGTCTCAGGAGCCAATCACAGCTCTCTCTCACGTTAAATCCTTCAGGGTTCTTTTATTTAAGTGTCGTAATTTGGGGCGATATAATTGATCTGTCGTCTAACCCACGACAAATTAAGAAAGGTTTGATGACATGGACCAACCGCCGAAGTATGCTCCGGACGCGAGTCAGGCAAACAACTTGAACTTGCATGATGCTCAAGGTGTCAATGTTTTACATCTGGTTTTATAGTTTGTGACCTACATCTGGAGTTTGTTGGCTATGGTGGTGATTGACTTAGTAACCGGTCACAGGTAGTCCACATTTCACCCCTTTTCGTAATTAACCTCTTCCACGTTCTAATTACGTCGTGGGATTGGACAACACAGGTTCGATGCGTTTGGGGCTGAAACCTATCGGAGAAGTGAGGCATTGAAAATTACCAGACAGCCGAAAAGGCCTTTTCTGATTAAGAATACTTAACTATAGACAGGATTGTGGACATATAACGTGGTTTATGTCCTTGTGTAAATCTCACAGGTAAAACAGGTGATGAAAACAAATTGCACAAGATGTTTGAACTTACAGAAGCACACACCTAAGCACGAAATATTTGGGATTACATTAGCAATGGTGCGGCAGATGTTGGGTCGGGGGCACTTTTGTTTTGTAGTTCTTTTAATAAAGACTCTCCAAGTTTTTTCATCCACAAAAGAATCATTATCCCCTAAGATGAGTGGTCACACGATGCCGTCACCTTCAATTCCTTAAAAAAATGGCGTCACTGAGGAAACTCCCCCCCCCCCGCTTCCCACTGCATACGCCACACTGATACAACACAGTATCCTGCCTTCATCAGCAAGTCCTCATGTGAGATCCCCGGGTCTTCGCCAATTTCGTTACATTCTTAGAGATGGTGTCTCTCATTTTGTCCAATAATTCCTGTTTATTTAGATCATTTCCCGAGGAAATGACTTTATTAAAACGTGTTCCGTGACCCACGGCATCGCCCGTGGTGTCGCCGGGTAATACACTGTCAGCACCGCTTCTTTTTGATGTAGGCCTAATGTTGGGACTCTTTTTGCCGTATCTTTATTTGCCAAGACCCATGTGGTCGGAGCGGATATCAGCTGGGTATTAAGTACCCTACTAGCCACAGCCCATTTTTTCCAAGAGCCCGATAATCTTCACATTAGAAATGTCAGTTGCGGTCAGTCAAGACATTTAGGGTACATGTATTCCATAATACTACAAAAATACACACCAACACCACTGGAAAGAAATTACTGAACACCAGGGCTTTTCAGGCCACAAACAAAATTACCTCAGGGTAAAACAAACTAGTTTCCCCACCACACGCGAAGTGAGAAAGCAGCAAATTGTACCCAAAAGATCTAAAAAGAACTCAAATATTGTGGAATCAGCCAATACTAGTGAATGCAACAGATTTCACGGCCGTTTTTGTTGTTCGACCACCCAGATCGCAGCTCGAACTGTTTCCATGAAATACAACATGCAATCATTTACCCAGCAGTCTAGGTCTGAGTTGTCGTTTTATTTGTCTTAAACAAATTCAAATAAACGAGTATTTCTTTTGTCTATAAAACTCCAAATAAATCTATTATGCATGCATCTGACGCTGGAAGAGTTTTTCTTTCCTGCTTTTTCAATACCATGGACGTTCCTTTTTTCCCCTATTTAAAGAGTTAGGCCTACAGCAATTTTGCCCCTTAGGGAGGCGGTGTGGGTTGGCAAAAAAATATTTCAGAAAGGCTCTGTCTAACATCAGCTCCAAACTCAATTGAAACCGTCTGCAACCTCGCACACACACCACAGGGTAGCCTAATGAGCAATTCCGTTTTGGCCGATTTGTCTCGGGGAGAGATCTGGGCCGCAAGGAAGTAGCCATGCTTGCCTGGCGGAAGGGGCTGACTCACCCGGCCAGACCAGTGAAGCCGACCCCTTCTCCTGCCATACTAGTCAAACCACCCCAGGGCCTGCGCTAACCTACTTGTGTGCGTGTGTTTGCACTCCCATCATGATCCCCACATCCAACCCATATAACGACCTTGGTTGTTCAAAAAATTCAAAACTCCAACACTATAAGACACTGCACTTTTTGACCCCACGTCAACAAACTTTTCACCAACTTCAACAGCACGCACATTGGACATGTGTGATTTGTGTACACGGTTTGGGTCCAAGTTCTAGTTCTTAGTCAACAGCCTAGTCAGGATGAACGAAGTACATGTACAGTATAGGCCTATATCCGATCCATTTGACCAAATCGTTCATAAGGCCTCACAACACACAAACAAGTAAGACCTTAATAACACCTTTGATGCGAAGAGTCTTCCTTATAATTAAAGTAAAACAAAAACCCCATTTTCACAGTGAAAACTGAGCACAGTGCATGATAGTTGAGTCGTGGCAGAAGTCTACACTTGCACTTGAAACAGACCGGAACACTGAGTTTAGCCTTCAACCGTCTGGTAAAAGCTGTTACAATTCTCAGTCTCACGAAATCACGTGCACGCATCACGCCTTTATATGACATTGATTGAAACTAGCGCCGTCACAAGACTTAACCTTCTCACGGTGTAAGTTTCTGCAAGAATTTGAAATTAGCATTTTGCCACAGTGACACTTGTCTAACCAAAGCCTATAAGTATAGGCAAAGGTACTTCACTATGCCCTCTGCTTGGAATCATGATAACACACTCAAAGGTGACGACAGGAGGCGTTACTGTCCACCATATAGTGTTGCCTTTGTAAACTTGGAAACCAAGAAAACATAGAATCATTTCAATCGAGCTTCCACTTGAAAAGTGGATTCAGTGTCATGCAGAGAGGTGTTGAAACATCTAGACATCTAGAGCCTGGGGATACTTGACACACTATGACGTTGAACCAACGAAGAGGACATGGTATAAAACATGAACTGTATCTTGTAAGGAAGCACGCTAATAAACTTCATCCTCCGCAAACTCGTCCGATAACGGCAACCACAATGTGACTTACACATGGAACATGAGAAGGGGCTGTCCCGACTGGGCCCTCCGTCATATACTAGGCTGGATTTAGCCGTAAGGCCTTATCATTCCTACTAAGAAATGTTTGCCTGCGACATTCTTGACGAGTCTCAGCTTTACTACGGTGGCTCTGAACAGACGATACATTTCTTTGATAGAATAGCATATTTTAGTTTGACAATCGCAATTTCCCTCTCTTTGGTAGCACGACGGCGTGTAAAAAAAACAAGGACTTTGGGAAATAAGTTCATGTATATCATCTTTAGAGGCCTTCCTCGAGTCTACTCCGGATTGCCATCATACACGGCGGCATCAATAAACAGTTATTTAGGGCAACTGAACAAACTATACTTTGGTTTGGTAACTTTGCATTGTATGTCATTAGCCAAAAAAGTCTCCGATTTCTGGTCAGGTGCTGGCCCTAAGAGTGGTGCGGCGACGCGACTTTGTTTTTTACCGGCACTTTTTTCTCTGGAAATGATGTACGGGTAAGGCGCGATGTCCATCGCGACTGCGAAGGAGTGCCCGACTAAATGTATGGGGAACTAGAGGGATTCCTTTACTGTACATATTACTCAACCGTACCCCATTAAAAAACACGTTAAAATTACACAGTAGCAGGATTCCAGTCGATTAATCAAGTCTGGCAGCTTTCGGACATCGTTTTAGACCAATATAAAAACTCATTTATTTTGTCGACACGTAGGTCTACGGCGACGGGCGCGCTGACCAGAAACCGGAGAGTTGGGGGGGGGCTCATTAACATTTTGTTTACTTGAGATGTTTGTGCTCAGTGCTCCTTTCTTTTTATGCCAAGAGTGATTCACTTCGTGCCTGTGCATATTTTTCATACTATGGAAATAAAATCTCCTTGACTCACCTGCGCACTGGTATTTTCCTTCGATGAACTGGTAACTTAAGCCCACCTTGCACAAGCACATGTGGCTGCCGTACGTGTTGTGACATCTTTTGTCCAATGGACAGATCGACGGGAACTCTGCGCACTCGTTTATGTCTGCATTGAAACAACGCAGGAGAAACAAGAACAGATCACATCAGTCACCATCAGTGGAGTAAAATCTAGGGCAGGATTGGGGGCTTTTTTCTCCGCATGGGCAACTTGTTGAGTTGGCTAGTTTCAAACAATACAAAAATCTTTTCTGTCGCCCCTATATTCTAAGCACTATGGGTGAGAAGGCCTCGTTTCAAAGTCAAGACTAATACACTGTAGTTAGTTCCCTTATAACCATACAGCTAGACGGAAACGCCTTTTTTGTTAACATCTTCGGCTACACTGCAAACGGAAAGTTCACCACAGATAACAGAAACCCTAACCCTACATAGATTACCATTTTGAAAAACAGAAAAACGTTCCACAAGACCTGCAGAAAGACATGTGTCACTTCAGCCGAACCAGATACGGGACGGTTCAGTCGAAAACATGCACATCCTGTGACTCTATTTTGAATATCTTAATCAAATGTGAAAATCTAAACTGGAAAGAAATTGACAGTACACCAAACGGCAGAAGCAAAAGGCGGCTGATAAGAAATGGAAATGAAACTATCCAAATAGAACAAGTTGCAAAATTGAAGTGGAGGGGAACATAATCCGTCGACTGCATCTAGTCTCTTTCATCTGCCACTCATGACGAATCTTGCTGTTCTGGAAGGAAGCAAAGACTCAAGATTCCAAACACTGTGGTGGCTCTCATTCGGGAAATATGACGGTTTCCTGTTTCCAAGAGGAAAATATCGGTTATTTCTGATGACAGACTCTTCCAGCCACTGTGGAGTAAATAGACACTTGAGAAATTGCCCCAATTATGGCAAATTCGAACTTTTTATCATACCATAATTATGACCATCAACTTTGAATGCAGGCCAACTGCAATCTCAGCTCCACTTCCTTTGCCCGTGCTTCACTGTCGTACGTCGATATGTCTGCATCAGGTGTCAATTTAATTGTTTCATCTCACCCAAACCGAGACAAAAGATTTTACTATTCGTAGATTTTACTGTTCCCACGATCTGACTATGTTACGCATATAATTAAATGATAAAAAATAATAATAATACAATGGAGGTGGAGTTAGGTTTATGGGGACTGGAGAGAGAGCCAATAGCTTATGTGTGGGCGGATTCTTTTTTTGCATACGTAAATGTCCCTTGCAAAGCATTCTGGTAATACCCTCTGCGCTCATTCTTTCACCAGCAAATCTTCGAAACCTGCGGCTATATTACAAACATCGTGGTGTAAGGAAGGGCTGCTGTTAACTTTTTACTCACAATGGAGCAAAAATGACTTGCTATGAAGTCCTGTGGAATACAGTTTTCAATGTTGGAGTGTAACGGTAACGACAAGCCTAACCTGGAGGGTCACTCCGAGCTCTTCCAGTAGGATTGAGGATAATTTGGAGTGACTTTCTCGGGGAGTCATCGGGGCGCTAGAGCGCCAGTTGTCTTCTCCTCGTCTTGACCTGACCATAAGCTGAAGGGGGGGGGGTTTAAAGGTTGGACACTGAGCGACTTGCATCATACGTGTGTGCGTTTTCTGATTTAATCATCGCAGAGAAGCTTTACACGACGCCGGTTTCAAAATGTCATTGCGTGTAGACACTGAGATCGAAGAAGGGATGATACGGCCTGGTATGAGTTGCCAGAGAGATTACATAATTTGTATCCGAAACGGCACAGGTAATTCTAATCGTACAAAACACACCAACCTACAGTAAGCCTGTACAGTATTACACCATTGGGACAAAAATAAACTTCATCAGTGTCACCATCACAATCAAATACCGATTCCTTTACGCGATAAGTGAATCTCTTACTGACAGATTATATCAGAGCTGACTATGACTTGAACTTCCGGAATGCCTGAAATGCGTGGCATAAATGACACAACGCAAGAGACCTTAGCCTTGTTCAAGGCGGACTCTGCTGCTTTCTGGCTAGGGGAGATAGGGGTTCTATGTGCGCAAACCACGCCAAACGAGATACGGCATATTATTTCCCGTGAAGTACTACGACAACCCACAGAGCACGCTCAGCACAAGCACGTGCGTGTGCACGTCACGCCTGTACGTACACTCTATGCTGTACAATACATATCTGTACGCTCACGCACGTTCGCCACGCAGCACAAGGCATGCACACAGCGTGGCCTAACAGCGTACAAGCACGGTTTAAGGTATTTTTTTTAGCAACGACAGGCCTAAGTCGACTGCACTAACAAAAAGACGAACCAAATTCCTTGCTCGAAGCTAGAGACCATTATCAGCATCAAAGAAAGCAATGAACTAACCCCTACTAACTGATGCGCGGTAAGGGGGTCTGTTCAACACCACCTGCGTTATGCGTTACTCGAGTGACCGCTTTTAAGGTTTCCTGTTGCTCTTTCCGGGCATCAACGAATGACTTGCAACGATTCCTGGCAAGTGTAAGCCTCGTCTCCCCCTCCCCCTCCCGACCGCTCTTGACACTGCCAATGAAATCAACCACGACTCATCCAGTGACGTTTGCCCCCTTTCATGCACAGATCAAGTTTGTCCCCCGTGCGATTGGTAATAAGTGAGTCCCTTCATCACAGGTTCCCGGCATCTACCCCGGGTCCAAATTAAGTGGTGTCACCAACCCCAGGAGTCTAAAGGAAGTGCAGCCAACCTTTCCACCCAGCTTGATGCGTCTGTAAATCTTATCAGTAACGTAGCATCCTGGAGGATCCGACTAATTACACCTTCTATCTTGTACAACTGCGTGAAAATGAGGAAGTAACGTCAAGGTGCTGAACAGGTCATTGGAAATAGATATCTTGTTTTACGCCAGGTACACGCCGCCACTTTAATAAACGCGACACGTTATTAACCAAGACTGGAAACGTTACACCCGAGTATCAATCGGTAAAGAGGATATTCCTCTGTGAATTGGGTGGACGTAGATCTTCCTTAGAACCTTTTTTGCACCTTTTTGCTCTAATATCTGCAAGAATGAACAGAACTCGACCTTTCTGAGGTGTAACGGGCCAGTGGAATGTCCAATTGCATTCAATGTTTGGAAGTATGCATCTTCATAGGGCGACCCTGGCAATCCACTACAGCTACAAAAAAACTAACGAGTGGAATGTCCAATTGCATTCAATGTTTGGAAGTATGCATCTTCATAGGGCGACCTTGGCAATCCACTACAGCTACAAAAAAAACTAACGATCAACTTCAATTTGTTCATCTTTACTAGTGATGATAATTGGAGCCAGTATACAGAGCCCATGGCAGGCCGCGCGGAAGGATGGCATGTACCATCCTGAGCGGACGCTGCCTGGAAATTGGCTTAGGGACTGCTTATCACCACAGAAAACGTTTATCACGCAAACGATAATTGTCTGCATCAGGTCGTGACGTATACACCGGTTAAAAAAAGAAGTAGCACTGATGACACCTGCCGAGCAGAGAGTTTTATCATTCGAAATTGGCAGGCATGCGTGGGCGGGAACCAATATCGAACCAACCATTTTGACACCGTGAGTTAGAGTAAACTTGGCAATCGGCCCTGACATTCGTCAGCATTTTTTTTTTCAAAAGGTCTGCTGTTACTTGCCAACTTAGTGATTCTCTTGGACTTACTCTAAAACTCCTATTTCAAAAGACAACCCAGGTGCATTTCCACCAGCTCTGTCACGCTGGGAACAGGAAGGGAAGGGCGTCTCCCTGTAAAGCTGGACAGCAGTAAATGCTTTGGAACAACCCGTGAGTGGATGGACACTGCCTCATAACCCCCCCCCCGCAATACCCACGCACACCAAGCCGAACACAGAGAACGCACTAGTCGGCATCGCACCACACCGAGGTCTCAGGGCAGTTCGACATTTAGCAGTGCCCCGGTTCCCTCAAAAGCCTTCGCTTTGTCGTGGAGCCGACAGTGTTTTGTGTTTTGCCTGAGACCGAAAACGTAATCATCCGTTGAGGAAATTTCCCATAATGGGCGATGAAGGGTTTGCAAACGTTTGAAGTCTTTTCCGGGCCTTCAAGCCCTGTTGTTGGTTTCTCATTTATTTTGATTACGAATCATGAAAAATTAGAAGCTGGCATTGTTTTGGATGCTACCCCCCCCCAAATGCCAGCTGCGTTGACGAGAGACTCAAAACTTGCAAGTCAGTGTAAACAAAACCAAGTTGCAATGGTAAAACAAAACAATTCTTTTTTTCTTTTTGGACTTCCACATCAATAGATGTATAAATAGACAGCATTTTACGAGTGCAGACATGTGTAGATGATTTATTCAGGTGAATGACAAATAATGAACCCGACAGGGCAGCCTTCTATTCACAGACTCATCGTCTGCTAGTAAACGCGCACTGGACCGGCGGGAAATAAGCGCGGCGTTCTTCAGGAAATCCTAGTATTTTGCAGGAAAGTGAAAGGTATATTGAATTTCTGCTGGGCATTCTTAAGCTTGGGTCGCCGAGAAAAGAAGGTCTTGGTTTTGTTTGTTTGTTGGTTGGTTTGTTTGTTGGTTTGTTTTTTCGTGCTTCTTCCCCTGCCGGGGGCAGAAGCACTTTGGATTCCCTACAAGATGTCGTGTGGAATTACCCATTAGAAATCTGCCCACTCGCGTGGTGTATCAAAAGCTGTGAACACGGGACTGCACATTGTTTGACGTGGTGCTTAGGAACTGATGGCAAATGCAGTCGACCCATGGTGACTGAACAATGCTGCCTCAATTAAGTTCTATGATTGGCGCGGCTTCGATAACCACATTGCCTTCAAGTCCTTCGGTACCAGTACATCGCGACCTATCGGTGTCTTACAGTCCCCAAGCTCCCTTCGAGATGAAGTGATCCCACGGATCAAATCGAAATACGCACTGGGAAATGCCGCGCTTAAGGTATGGGTTCCATTGCACCGAAGGATTTAACCGCTCAACCTACGAATGACTTCCGTAGCTATTATTATGAATTCAAAAATGTGGCAGCAACATGCCAAATTTGGTTAAAGCATTAAACGCATGACGTTAAACACCAACGGCACGTAGGCGGCGGGAAGATTGGGATTGAATACTCCCCCCTTCAAACCGCGCACATGGACGGTCAAAAATTGCTGCATGTGCGTCGGTAAAACTGCAGCTGATCCGGCAAATGAATTGGTTTTAAGAACCACATGGCGCCAAGGGTGTTGTAACATGGTCTATAATTAGGCTAAATTTTGATTAAAGAAGGTCCAATGTTTCCCCATTACTGAAACTGACGATCGAGCTGCTTCGTTATCTAGAACTTCCAACATTCAGTCACGTAACAGGTTTTAAGGTATCTATTGATTTGTTTGTTCAAAACAGAAACATTGTCGAAGCGGCCTTGTGACCCACCGTCTTTAATTAAGCATTTTTGGGCAAAATTGCAACCTTCCTTGTAACTTTGCACAAGCAGAGCAGAACTCTTGACCCGCTTCAGTTTAAAGGCTATCATGACATGAACTGAACGAAGAAACATTGCCCCCCTAAGGTTAAATAAAATTGGTTTCCACCGTGCACATTTTTCGTATTTAGAGTTAATCTATGCTGTCCACAACTGAGGGTACTGAAGCTATGATGTCACTTCGGGCACAAACTCCACAGGCTCTCTCGCACTCCCAAGGTTTTCAGTACACATAATGAACAAACAAGTTTAGTATCCAGCAATGTATAGCAGCCATCGAAGTTCAAAGATATGGACAACTGTGTCAAAAGTGCGCGCGTAAATGCTGGGGAAAAACAATAGAAACAAAGAGTACCGTACTCACCTACACAGCTGTAGCCGTTCTGTGCGAGTCGCATACCCTCGGGGCAAATGCACATGACGTTATAGCGCCCTCGTTCCTGGCATCCGTAGGAACAGTGCATAGACTCACATCGCCAGTCATCTGTAGGTCATGGTTCGAAAAATAAATGTGTCTTTTACGTGTAATAACCTCGTATGATGAACAATCGTTGTCACAACACGGAAAGTCACAAAATGTAAGAGTGTAGTCATTTCAATAACTTATGTAGGGATCTTTCTCTTGAGTGAAAAAACAAACAAACAGAACTGTCCACAGCTATCTATCTACTACCTAAATGTCTCATCCTTCAAGCAACGAATGCAAAACTTGAATTCTGTGTTCTGTTTGATTTGATTTATTTCCAAATATCACTCTGAATGCAGCAATTAGTTTGGCACTACATTGCAAACTATAGAACAAAAGAGGATGGATGGTGGTGGCTGGAAAAAATGCTAGGTTTGTACTTGGCCATGTCACCATCAGATACATTACACATTAAACAAACAGAAATTAACCATTTCGGGAAAAAGATCAATTAATTTATTTCAGTGATGAATACGGTGAACTATTTATAACTACCACTTGGGCACTATTGAACAAACAATGCACTTTGGTTTTAGTGAGCAGAAACTATGGGAGAATATTGTAACAAACAAAGCACACTTGGCCATTAAAAATGCTCCAAAATGACCCACCCAAAATCATGCACCTGTTCAAAGCAGCAGGTTCAAGCATAATGAATCGACATCATCAAGCCTGTGAAAGGAATTAGGTGTTGACTTCATTAGAATCGTTAAAGGATAAAAAAAAGGTAAAACCGTCGTCACAGACGCTTTACTAAGAAATATCGCGATTCACCAGCGCAGCTAAGAACTTAACCACGTATCTGTTTTAAGGTAGCGGGACTCCCTTTACTCTGTATTAAATACTCAAAGTTTATTTTTGACTGTAATATAATAAATTCTCTTATTTGTTCCACCCAAGCGGGATAAAACGCCAACGTCAACCAGCTGTCAAAACTACTTAGGGAGCTGTGCCCAAACCGACTTCCCCTGGCTGCGTGCAACAAGATGGGATCTCGTCCCGTGGTTGCAGGGACGCAGTGCCCCCGCGGGAAACATCTGAGCCCGCCAGGTGCGCATTACGATGCAAACCAGAGCCTCAATTACATCGATACGTTCCAAAGGGACCTCCCATTATATGTCTTACATGTCCACCCCCCAAGAAGACGGGTTCGGGGGGAAAAAATACATATATCAGCGACGCATGGTGAAACTGTTCCCGGGGGAAGACTTGTTACATGCTTGCTGGGAATGCTAAGAGAGTTCAACTGTACTTCCTACCATCGCAACATGAATGTTCCAGTCAGACTTACCCCCATAAATACTGGTAACGCGCGAAAGCCCTGTCTCGGAGTGTTAAGGTTCCATCCCGTCAAAGTGAATGTTCACTCCGAGTGACAGAAAAACAATTTGGTTATACCCTCCGGGTGATAACCGCGGGATGACACTGAAATGTGGGAGGGCTGCTGTGTGTTAAGCATTCTGTTGACAAGTCACGTGCACGACCGGTAATTGTGGATTTGAAAATCATGACTTAGATTGAAATTTCAAGAAACACCAAGCTTACATTTCTTGGGAAAGAATATTTTAAGGGATGGATATTGATAGGGTGAATGGCATTAATGGGTCATTATAGTGCCCAAAAGGTATCGGTACGCGGTAATGACTTTGGCCGTAAGGTTTGGTACGGCGGCAACTTTGTGACCTCTGACTCACCCCCGAACGGCCTCGGTTAATTGCTTATTTGCCGGCGATTGGGATATAGCGTGTCTCGAGGAAAGAAGGGGGCACTTCAAAAAGAAGTCAAATTTCGCTTAGCCGGGCGCAACACTTCACTCTCACCTTTACTTGCGACATTCCCTTTGGTCCAAAGCTCTATAATTTGAATTTGATGACAGATTTAGAATGTGCAGAGCGGCAAACAAATCGAGTGGAAAAATAACACGTTTGCTCCGACGTGTACGATCCCTGAAAATCGAAAGCTCTGCTCCAATGATCAGAATTATAATAACAGTTGCCTCGAGCGGCCAACAGCTCGCCAAAACTAGAAAAAAATAAATAAAATCAAACGATCGTTCGTTATTTGAGAAAAGTGATACCGTGTTAGAGATTATAGGTGGACAACAGTCAAAAGGATTAAGTACCAAGAATACGATGTTAGGCTTGTTCTTCCACAGTCGTGGAAATAAGTCATGCGGATCGGGGTTTATTTACCACAGGGAATATCTGGCTCCGATGTCTGAACCATAGAGCCAAATGTACCCTTCTGCACTTTCTCCTGACGGACCGTAACGGCATCGTGCCGCCTCGGCGTAATTGCACCCCTCCCCTTTGAGGAACGTGCACGGCTGCCTTTTTTTAACTTTACTGCTCGGTGATGATAAACTGATACCCCGGGTGAGAGCTTGGGTATATGAGGACTCACCGCATAAGTTAGAAGAGTCGCCTTTTATGAATTTCTCAGCGAGGTGCTTTCTGTGGAAGGTATAATCATTTTTTGGGGCAACTCCTGGAAGTTGGTCTCTGAAGACGCCTGGTTTGTTTTTGTTTGTTAGTTTTTTTCGGAAAAACGTTTAAAGTTTGTTTCATCATAAAAAAAAACCAATTAAGGGTGGCTTCATGAAGCACAATGGAGTTGTAATGTTCGGAGTGAGCGAAGGCTTCACCATTAAAAACAAAACCAAACAAAAAACAAGCAAGATGCTCAAAAACAGGGTGTAACCTTGGCGATGCGGCTCACTGCCTTTGTAATATAGCAAGGTTGTGCTTCAGGGAATTTTTGTTCAAGTAATAATCCTCCAAATGAGATGGGCAATATAACACGTCCCGTACGACCAGTTAAGCGTACAATAGAACCAGCCATTTATTTTTTCCAATTTTGGAGACTACCTGCGGCTCATCGATATCTGCCAACCGTGACTGAACATGCTACAATATGAAACATCTCCCGGCAGGGAGGAGATGCTGGCGTCCCGACGACTGGTGTGAACTATGGCTTTCAGCGTCGTGTCGTTCCGAATGAGTCTGAATGTGCCTTCAAGTTGACAGGTGATTGATGGCCGCCGTTAAATTATTGGCTAATTAATTAACCCGAAGGCTAGCCTTTTAGTTGTGGGATACGGTACAGAATCCTATTATGAAAACCACGCGTCTCTCAGAGGTCGAAATGTGAAATGACAGCCGATTGATGACAAGTTCTGAATGACTGTTTAATTAATTAATTAATTTGCACGCTCAACAATTAAGCTAGGCTTACCTCCGTAATCTAAAGGTAAATTCAAGCGGCGACTGGTTCCCACAAAATGTCATTAAAACCTTTGTACCGAAACAACATTTGGTTTAAAATGTGACCTCTTTGACTTCAACAGAATGCCCCGTTCCCCCTGAAAGCACGAAACGACAATAGGAATTACGACAAAAAGTAAACAATATCCAACCGAGCTGGGCTGCATTATCTTCCAGAAATGCTCTGAAAAAAAGTGAAATGTAAACGGTCGTGCCTCTGACAAGAACCTCAGACTGCAGTCTCTAATGTGTTTACATTATTTAATTTCGCGTTATGACCTATCCAATTTTCGGCGCATGCCGATGCTAAGAGTGCCCACATTACTTCTGTCAAGCTCGTTTTGTTGAAATTGCATGTTGACGGGCAGATTAGCCTGTCTACCATTTGCTGTGAACGAAATGCAGGGGGAGCACCTGGTGTTGTCGTTTCTCGTGTAGATCGAGGATGTTTAACCCTAGATTTCTTCCTATTATAGCTTTGGTATAGCAGAGCCTAATCGGTTCGCTTTTATTTTGACAACCAACTAAAATCCACATTGAAATGTTTTTGCTCCATTAAGTACTGCTTTTATAATTTACGGACTGAAAAACGATAAACCGGTGGGAGAAACCACTACCAGTGAGTTATTTTCATTCAAATTAAGTCATGACTGTCGTTAACCGATTGCCAAATTCAAAAATTACTTGGAAGCGTATGTTACGAATAAATTCAATTATTGCTTGATTTATTACCGGAAACACGTGACCTTGTCGCTAGACGTGGTACAGTAATCGTGTAAAAGTTCTCTCAGAAGAATATATAATAATTGGATATCTTTTTTTTAAGCAGAACGTACACACGCAATGGAGGCAGTATGGCCATGAAATGTACGCTTCATACAACACAAACCTCATCTGCATGTAAGACGTAGGATTTGTTTACTTCACGTCCTTGGGAACAGTTTTAAACAAACGAGAGAAAAATGGGACGATAACATCCTGCGTTTCTTTCAAGGTGGGGCACATGTCGACCAAGACTGTGTCTTTAAAAGAGAGTGATGCTCTTGGTTACTGCATACTTACACGTGCAAGTGCTCTTATCATCTCGGAGTGTGAAACCCTCCTCGCAGTAACACCTGTAACTACCCATGGTGTTCATACAACGGTGTTGACAAGGCCGACTACTGCACTCGTTGACGTCTGAAAGGGACAAGAAGTGTATATGAAATGAATAGCGGTTCAAATGACGTTTGGTTAGACAGAACACTCGCCGAATAACGAGTGTCATCAGTGGCAAGCATATGAGGCGGACTGTACTCCGAAAGGGGATCCTCGGGGTGCGCACGTGAAGGGTGGGATGGAATGAATCCATTTCTGGGGAATATCTCAGTGGGCTTTGTCGTGATTTTGACTCACACAAAACTATTTCTTTTCGTCTACCCTAAATTCTGAGAGCGTTCTCGCCGAGTATAGGGGAGGCGGGGGTGCGCCAACTTACGGGGGGTGCTCCTGCCGCGCTAATTAGGCCGTTGAATGTCATATCAAGATACTGTGATCAAACTGCGGGAAGGGAAGAGAATAATTTGCTGCACAGAATTATTTGCGTAAGGATGAGTGCTTAGTCTATCGTAATAAGGGCACTAAATCAATGCTTTATCTGCATCTAATAAAAACACACCACCTGTTCAACATTTCATAGTTGAAACATAGTTGAACAAATAGCCGAATGGATTTATGGCGAGTAGGCAGACGTATTCTGTCCAAAACAGTAAAAATGTGCCCTTTTTAAGGAAGTACCGCAATCTGTCAAACATTGAGATGTTATTTCATAACACTGGATTCGTGCGTGGAATCGGACGACGAAGTGTTTGTAAACAGGGTCACAGCTCAATGCAGTTAGTCCTGCACTATAATTGCAAAGAAGACGGACGCTTCAATTGAGAATAGATACTTTAATTGATCACGACATCTGCACGCAACATGAATTTCTTTCATTCTTTGATGTTTGTATGGCACCGCCATGGGCATTATGGGGGATCTTGTGCGGAAACTGATGAGCTTTTAGCCTTTCCTCCGAGACATCGCTTAAAGGGGCTAACGTTTAATACCGACACTCATCAAATCCTAAAAATTGGACAATTAACAAAGCAGGCGTTTCACAATAGTGCGACTCCATGCGTTCGCAACGCGTTGGCCAATCACGATGCGCAGAATCTGTCGACCCACTGCGCGTTCGGACAGGGTCGACAGATTTCGAGCGTAGTGATTGGCTAACACGTTAAACACTTACTTTTGGAGGTGCACTATTATGAATCGTCTGTGTTACCCGGAGCATCCAGGGAGAGCAGAGTAGACTGTCATGAACTCGAGGGGAAAAAGAATAAGGTACCGCTCGTTGCTCTCCAGTTCACCCCTCTTTAATTTAGGCACTATAGGGTGACAATGGACTGTAATCGAGTGTTTTGGTAGGATTTATTTTATTTCGTTGTCCAAAACCAACGCCCATTATAAATGCACCTTTGCGTGAATTGTAAACATGTAACACCTTTTGGAAATAAACGTGGTGCCGTGTTTCGAAAGTGTTCCCACCCGATAAACGCGTTTTTGTACCGTGTTATTAACATCCAAATGTGTCTTTGTATCAAAATTGATAAACACATCAACAAGTCCTTGTTATAAAAATAAGTATCACAACGTGTTTGGCTTTAGAATATTCACACCACAACAAGTTCATAACGCGTTACCAGGAAGGTGTTTGAAACGCGTCCAAACATTAACATTTAGTCTTGTTTTTACAGTGTTGGAGATGCTTTCTTTTTCTTCGTGGTTCTGTATTTAAAGTCATCTGGCGGTTTGCACTGTCTTCTCGAAAAAAAATGTCCGACAATTTACGTGCAACATTTATTTCAACATTGCCCTACAAAGACACACAGATAGTACATTGCTATACTTAAGGACAAGAATGCACACACTTAAATTCAAAATACATTTAAATTGATGGCATTCAATTTGATAACGATAATTCTCATTTGAACAAATAAGATCTTTTAAATAATTCTGAACCGCATAAAGCAAAAGTCTGCTAAATTCATTTGAATTCAACACTATCTGCCCGCAATACTTTGCATGTTGTGGTCCGTAGTACTTCATACGGCATGCGCGCCAAAGAAGTATGCTCGACAATAGGCTCTTGGTGTACTGCATCCCAGTGGGGCAACCAATGCATTGTAATATGTTCAGATATGAATACACCCCCTTCGACAGCCTACATCAAAGGGTTATTGATATCAAACTACACGTATTAATGAATTTCTGATGAAGTCTTGAAGAAAAAGGGACAGCACACCTGTTCCTGTTTGCTTCACCCTCCAATGCCCAGGCCATGCCAGAATTAGCCCAGCAATGGCGGAAATTAAAAATGCCTTGAATGCCGACATTCAAAAAACAACATGTCTTGTCAGAGGAAAAACATGGCAGCAAAATATAGAAAAACTTGGAAGTTGGTTATTATATCCGATAGTGACGACCACGTTAAGACACCTTTATTAGGCTACCTGGCTTGACTGTTTGAACTCTGCCCCGATCCCTCTAGGGATACACCAGACCGTATTTGGTGATATTTTACTCAAGCATTCGGGTAGCAAGCAGAACTATAAAAAACAGCAGCCACGGCTGGTTCCAATCACTCAAAGCACCGACATTAATGGGGGTCTGCTGGTACTTAGTGGCGCTTAACAATGACTCGGTATTCAGAAGGATATAATTCCTACAAAAACTGCACAGTGACACAACTTTGACCCAAAGTAGCACTTTTTACTTGGTGTGACTTTCTTAGGAGGAGAGTTCGGGGATTTTCTCGCGCAAGGGATTTCACATGACTAGCTAGAAAACACTGCCATAAATTATGAAAACAGTAACGCAAAAGAGGCATTTATAAAGAATTTATTCAAAAGTTATTTACAGACAAACGGCTTGTTGGTGCACTGTCCACTTCTCGATTACGGTGCAGTATAATGAATGAGTTTATACCCATAACTTTCATATATAGGCCCCTACGTATACTGAAAGCTAAACCCTTCCCCTTTGGACATACAAAGTTACAACCCTGTTACACAAAGTCTTGCATGCCTGCATCTGTCCAGATCTGCAAATTTCGGAGAAAATTTCAGTACTTCAGATATTTATCAAGTGTACATGTTTTTTAAAGGTTCCGGAAATGTGTCCAAATGGATGGGAAAGCGTTATCATGGGCGCGAATGGGGTTGGTCCCGCCATGGAGCTATCATGTCTAATAGCTCCATGGTCCCACTGAATTCGTAGCTAATAGGTCCACATTTTAAAAAAATCCTTTTTCCTTTTTTTCTGCATGACTTGTCGTCTTATTCTACAGTTTTTTTTGGTTTGGCATCAAAGAATGTACCATAGCGCTACCCATACTAAGGCCAGGTTGGCGCTCACCTGGTGTGGCGAGCGACTGACACCACAGGAAGCAATCAATTCCACAGAATTCTTCTTGGTAACTAAATGTTCCGCTACCTCTGCCATATACAGCAGGCTCCTAGCTATATGTCTTAGTTTGAAGGGGTACCGCTGGGGGTAGACAGCATGGTTAAATACCCTCTTGACTTAGTTCCAAACAGGCTAACCTTAATGTTGCACATGCCGACCCAAGTTCTTGATAGCATCGACTATTTCCTGTATTGCCACTTTTTTTTCTGCGCAGACTCCGCATTCTCAGTCTTCATCCTGGAATAACTCTCCCTCTTTCAAAAAAAAAAAAATGCGACATGAATCTCAACCGAAACTACTTTCGTTCGGTGAACCAGGATTTACGAGCTCAATTCTGACTTGAGCACAATCTATCTATAGCATCTCTTTTCGGGATAGGACGCAACTTGAATGCCTGTAGCGATAATCATGTTTACTGAATGGGGTCAAGTAATAAAGAAACCGTGAAGAGAAGGGAGAAAGAAATCAGACAGTGGCGGTGACCATACGTAGGTCGAGGTCAGCAGGTAGACCGTGTGTATCCCTTGCACGGATCTGTCTCGTTTTGACATTAATTTCTGCTTCCGCGTTAGGAATTCGGGAGTCGTTTATCGATAACTGATGCGGACCAGGCAGTCTGGCCGTCCATGTTTTACTTCTGTTCAGTGGTTCATGCGGGAAGAACATGGCATGCAGTGTACATGGTGTAGGCCAGCCTAACGGACACCTGCGCTGTTTTCACCTCACGGTTCGGGGACTGCAAGGCCAGGGAACGGGTTGAAGAGCCGGCAGAGGAGGTCGTTGACTGCAGGGTGCCATGTGCAGGGCTCTCAAGGGTAGCATCCTCGCAAAAGGCGATCAGCAATCTGTCACAACCTTCAACGTTTTCCAATCCGAGCGGCAAGCACCGCTATTGGTTAAAAAGTTCAATGAAATTCCATTTTAAAAATAGTTAAAAATTTTGCTAAGATGAATTTGCACTCATCCTGCAGGGAGAGAGAACCCCACACTTCGTGTTTTCAAGCAAGGAAGGCAGGACAGAAATATTATTGAACCGTTTGGGATAACACCATACTGTGGGATAGCATCATACTGTCCAGGAAAGCACAGTACCTATATTTAACTCTTTAACTTTCTTTAAGACGTAATTTGATGGGTCAAATCTTTCACTGGCTTCCCTTTGGCATTTCTTCCTTCCCGTAACGAGGAACATTTGACCTTTCACAAGAAACGGACATTTTGACGTGTAAACAGGCAGTGTGCTACTGCTACGCCTCGCAGTTTGACCGTACCCACCATGTGCGGGTATAGACCTGTATCATAGGGGAAGTCATCTTGATTTTCTACCCTTTAAAGCAATGGAACCAAACCGAGGCTGGAAGGAAAAATAACCTGTTCCCTTTTTCAATTTGTGAAGTTGAATTAGTATCGCCAATGGGTCTACAGGGAACACGACAAACAAACATGCCACGATAAGGGTCTATGCCTTACTCGTCATTATCCTGAATACCCACGTCAAATCATGGAGGTAATAATACAAGCGCTGAGTGGCAATATTCGCCTTGATCAGAAGCGCCCCCTCATGGTTGAAAAGAGCCATGTTGGTCGGGAGTGTTTATTTCGCTGATAGCTTTTGCTTCTGCTTCTGCTGGCTAATGTACAATCGCCACGATTCTGGCTGCCCCGTACAAATGACGCCGCAAGGAATCTGG